TAACGGGACTTGAATTTCCATGGATTTTGGTATTTACAGTGGGGCCTGCGACTAAACCCAGTAGATACCAAGACCTCATTGTAATAAAAAACACAAGAGTCGTCTCACGTTTTGAGGTAGATCAAATCTAGAACTGGACAGATAAGAATCTCTGAACATGAACAAATGCATGCATAGGCCTAGCCACAAAAGCAGTAACACTAGATCTCATGCTTTGGTCATTGTTAAACTTTACTATTTCAAGGGGAAGGTGGTTTTTTAAAGCTGATTATAATTAGAAATTAAATTATGTTAATAGTTGAATTTTATATTTTCTACACCATTTTAATGTTTTGGAGATATTATGTATATACAGCACAACCCTCATATCTGCAGGGAATATATTCCCAGCCTTTGGTTGAAAATGTGAAACTATGGATAATAGTGAATCGTATTTAAATGAATAGGGTCTAAGAACACTATAGAGTCTTACTGGAGGACCTAGAAAATACCTTCTGGAAGGATATCTTTCAGCTGTGGATGAATGAAATCTTGGGTAATGGTGCTGGGGATATGAGGGGTGGGGGAGGCGTACTGTTTGCAAAAGCTCCAATTATTTGAAATGAATAAGACATTTGGAAGAAATCAATGCCTTTAAAAGAGAGGGAAAAAAAGAATATTCAGAACTGATTGTACTAACAGGAAATTCTTTGAGATGTATTGTCGAAGGCTTTCATGGCTGGAATCACTGGGTTGTTGTAGGGGTTTTTTTAGGCTATATGGCCATGTTCTGGAGGCATTCTCTCCTGATGTTTCACCTCCGTCTATGGCAAGCATCCTCAGAGGTTGTGAGGATGCTTGCCATAGATGCAGATAAAATATCAGGAGAGAATGCCTCTAGAACATGGCCATATAGCCCGAAAAAACCTACAACAACCCAATCCTTGAGATGATGAAACTTGAAACATTCTATTTCAAAGAGCTATAAAAGCCATGTCTTATCTTTATCCTTATCAAAGTAGTATAAAATATGTTGTCACCCTGTCCTCTAGTGGATAAGGGTGTGCACTGCAGAAAAATGAAGCTAATATGTATAATCTGCAGGGCTTGTGAGGGCAATAGGAATAAAAGATGTCAGAAACACTCAAATATAGCACAGGACAACAATAAATTGCCCATTCCACATAAATTATTACTTCCAAGTCTTCTCCAGAGCAAAGATATTATCAAGAAGACATCACAATAGTCTCTTATACAATGGCTTCACAATAAGAGGGTGAGTACAACAGCACACGGAAGATTCAACTATTGGCATTGAGCTACTTGATAAATACAGTATCAAAGCTTTTGGAATCCAGTTGTGTACATAAAATTGCAATCCAATTGTTCTGCAGGATAACAGTGAAACATCACTTTTATATTTCGTCAAGGTTGTAAACTGGAGTAGATACTCTCTCAGTCACTCAGTCACACATAAAGCAGAAATAATGTGGGTTGCTGGGAGTTTTCTGAGCTGTATGGTCATGTTCCAGAAGCATTCTCCACTGATGTTGGCACACATTTATGGCAGTCATCCTCGGAGGTTGAAGGGTCTGTTGGAAACTAAGTGAGGTTTATATTTCTGTGGAATGTCCAAGGTGGGGGAAATGGAGCTTGTCTGCTAGAGGTACATGTGAATGTTGCAATTTGCCATCTTGATTAGCATTTAATGGCCTGCAGCTTCAAGGTCTGGATGGTTGCTGCTTGGGGAAATCCTTTGTTGGGAGGTGTTAGCTGGCCCTGATTTATTCTTGACTGGATTTCCTGCTTTTTGAGTCTTGATCTTTATTTACTGTTCTGAGTTTTGAGTGTTTAAAAAGCTCTAAAATCAGAACAGTAAATAAATAAAATGAATTGACGGCTAGTGTTTGATTAATTTTCTTGTGTATCAGTTCACTTCTCAATCTGTGAAGTGTTCTCAAATTATATATATATATATATATATATATATATATATATATATATATATATACACCCCCTATTTTCCACATATGCAAAATATACAAAAACACATACTATATAAATCAAAAACAATAGACATAAACCTGTTAACAAACATAAAAAACACAAAGCCCTAAACGGTTCCAGCCCAAGCTACCTATCCGACCGCATCTCTGCCTATGAACCCACCAGGGCTTTGAGATCTTCCGGGGAGGCCCTGCTCTCGATCCCGCCTGCTTCACAGGCACGGCTGGCGGGGACGAGAGATAGGGCCTTCTCGGTGGTGGCTCCTCGGCTGTGGAACACCCTCCCCGTGGACATCAGACTAGCTCCCTCCCTGATGATATTCCGCAGGAAATTAAAGACCTGGCTGTTTAAGAAGGCGTTTGAACAAGAAGTGCAATGATTGGTAATTGACCATAGGAATGGAACAACGGAAAATGATACTGGATTGTGGTTTTGACGATGAGACGATATGGAATGGCTTTTGTAGTAATGATGATGTTTTTGATGGGGATGTTTTTGATAATGATGAATTGTGGATTATTTTATACTGTGTCTTGTATTTTGCACCTTGTTTTTCTATGTTGTACACCGCAGTGAGTCGCCCCTGGGCTGAGAACTGTGGTATATAAGCAAAGTAAATAAAATAAAATAAATATACATTAAAATCAATTAAAAACCAGTTACGCTCTCTTCTTCATGGAAGGTAAGCTGCTAGGGGCCTGGACTATTAGCTCAATGTTGGGATCATGAGAAATTTGGTGACAATAAAAAGCTTCTGAACCATCCATTTAGACAAATCTGTTAGCAACAACACAAAATATTTACAGTGGACTGTACTCCACACACACACACAAACTGCCAGTTTAGCAAGCCTTGCAAATGCTGACTTATTATCAATTAATGTTTGATTTTTATACTTATTTTATATACTTCTATACTTGGGGTCATGTAAAAATTTCTTGGGTGAAAAGAAATCACGAGTTAAAAAAGTTTTTTTTAAAAGAGCTCAGTCACAGAACTAATCAAACTCTTAAATCAAGGTATCACTGTACAGGCAACTTCTTTTGATTTGTGCTAAGTCTCCTTATCTCATTGTTGATCTTCCTCTCTTTCCTTCTTTTTTAAAAAAGAAAAAAAGAGAAAATGCTTTAATCAGAAAGCACCGTATAATCATTGGGGGGGGGGGGGGGGAGAATAACCCTAAAGCAAAATTGTGCTTATTTCATTCTATTTACTTTTGCATTTAAATTTTGATGAGAAACACTCTTTCATAAAAGGGGCGGGGAGAGGTCGTTGGGAGATAGAGGATCTTTCTAATCTAATTAAACCAAGAGGAAATACAGTCATTCGACTCAAAGGTTAAAAGGAGGTCATGAAGGCAGGCAGTTTTCTGCACTCTTTGATTATAGCTTGGTATTATATAGCTATTGTCTGCAAAATAGAAAAGGTAGCCTCTCAGTGTGGCATGCAGATCCTCTCCCTTTCTGATCATCACGTTAATCTACTGTGTCATTTTCTCTTCTCTCGTCTTCCTTCTCAGTATTTGGTACTGATAAGTACCTGGCGCTGAGAAGCTGTGTGTAATGATCTGTACACACAAACTTCGTGTGTTGCTCTTTTCTTGGAAAAGTCACTGTTTTGGACTGCAGCTCCAGAATCCATAAGCAGGCATCCTAATCTAAAACTCCCAAGTTCTGGTTTTGGATGGTATTATTCTAGCAACTAGTCTCACAACTAGTCTCACTCTTCATTCATTCAAA